TAGAGAGAGGGGGAAGTGTTACACCCTTTTAAACAACCTGATCTCATGAGAACTCACTAACACAAGAACAGCAAGGGGGAAATCTACCATCATGATCCAATCACATTTCTCCCGGCTCCTCCCCCAAACTGGGAATTACAGTTCCACATGAGATTTGGGTGGGGACATAGGGTCTAACCATATCTGTTTATTAGTCACATATACTTAACCTGGGAGAGGAGGGCACTGTACCACACAGAGGTTGCATTCAGGAATGAAGTATACAACCAAAGATTCTTAGAAACAGGATCCTCCCTGGTCCCTATAAAAGGATGCGATGGACTTGTATGAGTAACTCTGTGGACTGAGAGGTAACCCAGGTTAAGCAGGAACTGGTCCCTTTGATAAGCAAGGTTCTTTGAATTGAGGCCATTCTCTCCAGGAGCAGAGTAGGGAGGAAAACTTGCAGTTATGTCATTAAAAGCCCTCCCAGTTTTCTCCAAATATCAAGACACATGTATTATTGAACATTAATTTTAGGCTTTACATCACAGGAGGTATAAAAATGACAAGATAAAATGATTGTGATAATATTTGTCTACGTAAATATAAAAGAGCTATTTCAATAGCTGTAAAATAAAAATTCTATGAGAAAAGACAGCATTGCATTACAGCTTAATTAAAAGCCTTGCTTTTCTCACAAATACATAAAGTGGTGTATTATAGAGTCATTGGAGTCTCATATTTAAGGACATATGGTAACTGATGTCAGCAACATGTGCTAAGACAATTTTATGGAGATAGAATTTTATTTAATCTCACATACTATATTATTAATTGCTGTTTGAATTGGAAAAGTATGTTTATAACCAACATATGCTAAACTGGAAGTTGTACCTTAAGTAACATTATAGTAAAACAGCAGATGACATAGAAACATTATCAAAGTTTTAGAAGCTATCAATAAGAAGGTGGGTTTAGACTTACTGAAGCACTGGCATCCAAGGAAGTACTGCTAACGTCGTGGCTGTGCTGAAAAACACAGAGGAAGTCATCGATTTCATTAAAGTAAGCTTAGTGGCCTGGCTCACAGCTGTAATCCCAGCACTTTGGGAGGCTGAGGCTGCCGGATCACCAGGTCACTGGCTAACACAGTGAAACCATGTCTCTACTAAAAATACAGAAAAAAATTGCCAGGCATGGTGGCACATGCCTGTAGTCCCAGCTAGTTGGGAGGTTGAGGCAGGAGAATCGCTTGAACCCAGGAGGTGGAGGTTGCAATGAGCCGAGATTGCATCATTGCACTCTAGCCTGGGAGGCAGAGTGAGACTCCATCTTGAAAATAAATAAAGTAAGCTTAGTACAGTCAATACTTTAAAACATTTTGTTCATAGACTGAAACTAATCAAACACATTTTCTGTACTATACCAATATTTGTTGATCAAATGTGAAACTGTAGGCTATAAATTAATTTATGACATTAAGAACAACTAATCCTATATTTGAAATTCAGCCAAAATTACAGTAAATTCTTTGATACTAACCAAAAAATTAAAAGACAGATGGAAAGAAAAAAGTAAACAAACATAAAAATAAACATTGGTTAATGTTTGGGGAAGAACAATAACATAGTAAAACATCTGAAATAACTTCCTTTTTTTTTGAGATGGAGTTTTGCTCTTGCTGCCCAGGCTGGAGTGCAATGGCGCAATCTCGGCTGACTACAACCTCCGCCTCCCAGGTTCAAGCCATTCTCCTGCCTGAGCTAGCACACTTGCCTCATTTTGTATTTTTAGTAGACCAGGGTTTCTCCATGTTGGTAAGGCTTGTCTTGAACTTCCAACCTCAGATGATCTGCCCACCTCGGCTTCTCCAAGTGCTGGGATTACAGGTGTAAGCCACCATGCCTGGCCGGAAATAACTTCTTAAAAGACAAATACATAAGGCTAAGGAAAGACATGAAAAAAGTCTAAATGGAATATCATATATATATTTAATTATAATTTTATGTACACTTATTGAACTATCAAATAAATATATCCTGATTTATTTTCATCTGTAACATGTGACCTGCATAATCTTCTTTTATGTCAAAGTGTACAATTAGAAAAAAATTTAAGTATATGCTTTAAAGTGTTTAGGTACTCTATTAGAGAATTTTTAAAATGCTGTTTACTTTTATACAAGGGTGAAGAAGAAATAAAATACAGAAAATGATCCATAGGAAAAAGACCAACAGGTAACATAGTAAAACATATGTAGGGCATAAAACTGTAACATAGGGAAAAAAGCCACTTGTAAAAGTAATGGTAAATAAGTCAAACTCTCTAATAACATGAAGAAGAAAGAAATTTAGGAAGCAAACACAAAAATTAATTTGTTTTCTAAAACTCGAAATTAAACCCCAAAAAGCACAAAATAATAAAAACTACTAATTAAAAATACTTTAAAATGTCAGTGGTGTTAATACAAATTTATTAGGTGATCAGATCCAAGGAGAAAACCATTTCATAATAGAATTGACCATTGCCATTTACTCACCTTAATGTACCACATTTCTGTTCTAAAAATCAGAAAACTAGGTTTGGAAGGATATTTCCTTAGCATAATTTTTTCTTTTGGAAATTAAAACTTTGAAGACATTAAATTTGGTAATAAGTTAGGTAATAAGTTCAAAATATTATTGAACATTTTCCATAATCTCTAGAAATTCAAGGAAAAAAAGAACTATGTGCTATAAACATTGAAATGGAAATGAAATTAGCATTATTTGAAGATGATACGATCAACACACTTTCCATGATCCACCCTGAGCGCTGAGGCTGGAGCTGGGAATCTAGTTACCAGCTCAGCTAGAAGCCTGACAGCAGACTGTCTGTCCTGGATAAATTACAGGAGACATTCTTATAAAGGCTTGTACATAAAGTTCACAGCAGCTTTCTTTGGAAACAATTCAAATACCCTTCAACAGATTATTGAATAAATATATTATCTGTACAGACAATAAAAAATACTACTCACCTATAAAAGAAATGAATTAATACATGTAAGCAACATGGGATGGATCTCAAGCTAATGACATTGTGTGTCTTGGGTGTCAAGTTTTGGTAACATTGTATTTCTTGATTTGGAGGCTGATTATAAGGATGTGTTCAGCTTAGGAAAATCCATTCAGCTATATCCACATGCTATATATACTTTTCTATATGTATATTAAATTCCAATAAAACAATGTTACAAATCAATAGCTTTTCAATATACTGGGCAATAACAAGTATAAATTTGGTCATAAAATATAAATGAGTATGTGACTCACACCATATTCCTGAATTATTGAGCATTACAAAATGTGACTTTTTCAAATTATCTCATTGATACAGGTCTATGGTAACCAAAATCTGAACTCTACTTAATAATTTCAACATTTTTTAGTGCTACAATTCTCCAGGAAACAAATAAGATAGAAAGTGATTTCTGAAAGGAAATACATGAGAGAGGATGTCCCCTCCTTACCAGTATTTGTCATTGTTTTTTGCAGCCCAAGAATAGAAACCTTTAGTGTACTTACAAACACCCTCTCTTGAAGAGGCAATGATTACCTCCCCAAAAGACGTAGGAATGCAAGATATGTACTGTCCCACCCACCATAGCTCCAGGGTCGCCACATGTTTTATGCTATGCCAATCAGACACACCCTCCCCCAGCTTGTAATTGAAGGTTAATGCTGGGTTGACAGGTAGTAGGACAGGAGGTAGCTAATTCCAGTGACATAAATGTCTAGTGTCAGTCACACATGCCACCTAAATCCCAGCAGTGGCAGGAGAATGTGTCCTCTTCTGATTTAAGACATTCTCCCTGTCTGTGTAATCTCCAAGCTTATTTTCCTGGCACCTCAAAAGATTCTGTACATTACCACTATTCTTTAATAATTTCTGTCTTTAAAAACTCACCATTCTTTTGCTTACAATAATGTATTTTGTGATACTGGATGCTATAAATTGGACTTTTGTGCTTATGATTAAACTAATACAAAAATTAGTACTGGAAAATAATTGCAGCCAAGAATCTTTCCAGCAAAGTTGGTGAAATTCAAGATTTATGACCTGGCCTTGTTGGTGCTGACAGCAATAAAAAAAAGCCTTTATGCAATCAAGGGCTAGAACGCTGGCAGCTGATGACATACATAGGCTCTCTATGGTCACCTATACTGAAAAGCCTATTAAACAGAAACTTTGGAAGCCTAGGTAGGTGGTGAGTGGAAGAGGATATGAGGCTTGAAACATCAAGGGATTTGACATTCGCCACTTGCTTTTGACAGTGGTATACAATCTAGAAGTCCAAACTTTGCCAAAATTCTCTGCTCAAGGCATGGACCAAAAGTTAGTAACAGTGATTTAAAATTGTGTTAAAATAATCTTTTACAACTTGTAGCATCAGACTGGGATGGCCAAGAAATAAACTTTGCATGTTTCAGAAAGACAATAGACCATAACCCTATGATATCACTTCTATTATAGCTTCTAATGTTTTGTATAATACATTTCTTGTTATGGTTTATTTATGGCATTTTTATTAATATTGTGAATGGAGTATATTCCATTATGAATGGATTATTTTTCCATTCACAACAGAAGCTGTTATTGCTGTTATAAAGAACATGTATGAATTTTCACATATAAGTATTATAATGGTTGTCAAAGTAATGGTTTTATTTTCCTGTTAGGTACACCATCTGCATAATAATAATAATTATCTGTCCTTCTTTCCAATAGTTATATGTCCTTTCCCCTAGAAAATAAATTACCTACTTATTTGAATGTAAATTTCTAATTTCAAGTGCACTAAAATATTTTTCAATTGTGAAGAGATGCTGACTTTTCATATTCAGATACTTTTCCAGCATCCTCCGGATTATTCTGCTTTTCTTTCCCTTGAGTTCACTGTGATGAAATATGTTGTTTCCTATCAGTGTTCTTAGTTTGCACTATATATTTTATTAACAGAAAGTCTCGTTCTCCAGGGATGAACCAATTTGATTCAGGGAGATTTCAGGACCCGACTTGAACCCACACTTCCTAAAGCTGATATGGCAGAAAACAGAGAAGGTAAAACCACGTTTCCTGCCCTCCTTCACTCCCTTCCAGAGCCAGAAAACATATGAGCCTGGGTGTGAAATGAAAAAGAGTCGCAGGAGCAATTTACTTATGAGGAGAAACACCCTTTACCTCAATTTTGTAATTGTAATGCATAAGGGGTGGGGTGGATTTTGGTGAAGAACAACTAGGAGCTGTGATTATTTTATAGGGATTTGCTCACTTTCATGTTACCTCTTACCTCCATCTGCCTTGTGTTTGCTGAAGATGGCATTTTAATAGTGACATAAGAAAAAAAGACCTTTCATTTTAGCCATGTTCGATCTCTTATATTTGGAAAGCTACATTTCCAATATTATGACATAGTCTACTCCTTGGATAGGTGATAACTAATGACTTGTGCTCTCTGTTTACGGCAGCTCTGACCTAGCCAGTAGTGTTCCTGGGGCATGCTTACCTGACAGTGAGAAACTTTTTAGATGCCCATATACACTCAAGTTTAAAGGGCTAAACCAATTCTTAACATCATTGTATTAAAAATAAATTTAAATTTATTTATATCTATGTGTTAAATACATCTGTGTATAAAAATAAATTTAAAAAATGAATTATCTGCTTAAAGGTTGAAACTTAAGAGACCTTTCTAAATATACTTTGTGAACTTATATTGTAAATATGTTTTAATATTCTTATGTTTTACATGATAAAAGTACATATAGGAGATTTTGCCAAGATGGCTAAATAGGAACAGCTCTGGAGCACAGTTCCCAGCAAAAGAGACACAGAAAGCAAGTGATCTCCGCATTTCCAATGGAGGTGCCAGGTTCATCTCAATGGAACTGGCTGGACAGTAGGTGAAGCCCAAGGAGGGCAAACTAAGCCAGGGTCAGGCAATGCCTCACCCAGGAAGTGCAACTGACTAGAGGATCAGAGACCTCCCCCCTGCCTTCCTGGCACTCCGGTTGAGACACTGCACTTCTCCCGTGGCCTCTACACAACCCACGGACCAGGAGATCCCCACTGGCTGAAGTGCCACGAGTTACCAGCATGCATCTGAGCAGCAGCTTCAGGCAGCGCGGCAAGTTGTTGGCACAGATTTGGGTGGACGTTTTGACTAGCACTGAGAGCACCTGTGGGACGGGGCTACCCACTCCCCAGAATGAGGGGGAGCTGAAAGCAGGGAAATAGGTGATGCAGCTGTTTGGGTCCCACCCCCACAAAGACCAGCAAACCAAACCTCCTGCTTGAGAGTTTCACAGCCAGTACATCAGTTCAACCTCAACCCAGGATGTTCGAGCTCGGTGGCGGGGAAGGGTGTCTATGATTGCTGAGACAGGTCTAAACCTACCTGTGTAAACAAAAGCCAGAGGAAGCTTACGTAGCAACTGGACTGAGTCCATGATAGCCCAGCAGTGTATCTTCAAGGCACAGACTGCTTCCTCAAGCAGTTCCCTGTAAAACCAAAAAGATGCCTCATACAGGAGAGCTCTGGCTGACACCTAGTGGCTACCCTTCTGGGATGAAGCTACCAGAGGAAAGATCAGGTAGCAATCCTTGCTGTTCTACTACCCTTACAGGTGATTCCCAGGCAAGCAAGATCTGGAGTGGACCTCTATCAGTCCTACAGCAGAGGAACCTGACTGTTAGAAGGAAAACTATAAGAGAAAAACAAATAGATTCAACATCAACAGAAAGAATGTCCACTCAGAGACCCTATCCGAAATCACCTTCAAAGATCAAAATAGATAAATCCATGAAGATGGGAAGAAACCAGGCCAAAAAGGATGAAACCCTCAAAGACCAGAACACCTTTCCCCCTCCAAGGGATCACAGCTCCTCACCATCAAGGAAACAAAACAGGATGGAGAAAAAAATTTGATGAATTGACAGAAGCAGGCTTCAGAAGGTGTGTAATAACAAACTTTTCTGAGCTAAAGAAACATGTTCTAACCTAATGCAAAGACACTAAAAACCTTGAAAAAAGGTTAGATGAAGTGCTAACTAGAATAGTCAGCTTAGAGAAGAACATAAATAACTTGATGGAACCAAAAAACACAGCACGAGAACTTAACAAAACAGACACAAGTTTCAATAGCTGAATCTATCAAGCAGAAGAAAGGATATCAGAGACTGAAGAGCAAGTCAGTGAAATAAAGTGAGAAGGGGAGATTAGAAAAAAAGAGTGAAAAGAAATGAACAAAGCCTCCAAGAAATGTGGGATTATGTGAAAAGACCTAATCTACGCTTGATTGGTGTACCTAAATGTGACTGGGAGAATGAATCCAAGCTGGAAAACATTCTTCAGGATATTATCCAGGAGAATTTCCCCAACCTAGCAAGGCAGGCCAACATTCAAATACAGGAAATACAGAGACCACCACAAAGATAATCCTCAAGAAAAGCAACCCCAAGGCACATAATTATCAGATTCACCAGGGTTGAAATGAAGGAAAAAATGCTAGGGGCAGCCAGAGAGAAAGGTCTGGTTACCCACAAAGGGAAGCCCATCAGACTCACAGCAGATCTCCCAACAGAAACCCTACAGGCCAGAAGAGAGTGGGGGCCAACATTCAGCCTCCTTAAAGAAAAGAATTTTCAACCCAGATTTTCGTATCCAGCCAAACTAAGCTTCATAAGCAAAGGAGAAATAAAATCTGTTATGGACAAGCAATTGCTGAGAGATTTTGTCACCATCAGATCTGCCTTACAAGAGCTTCTGAAGGAAACACTAAACATGGAAAGGAAAAACCAGTACCAGCCACTGCAAAAATGGACCAAATGGTAAAGCCCAATGACAGAATAAAGAAACTGCATCAACTAACAGGAAAAACCCAGACAGTAACAAAATGGCAGGATCAGATTCACACATAACAATATTAACGTTCAATGTAAATGGCCTAAATGCCCAAATCAAAAGACACAGACTGGGAAGCTGGATAAAAAGTCAAGACTCGTCTCATGTGCAAAGACACACATAGACTCAAAATAAAGAAATGGAAGAAGAAAAAAAAGCACAGGTTGCAATCCTAGTCTCTGATAAAACAGACTTTAAACCAACAAAGATCACAAGAGGCAAAGGAGGGCATTATATAATGGTAAAAAAATCCATGCAACAAGAAGGGCTAACTATCCTAAATATATATGCACCCAGATACAAGCAAGTTCTCAATGACCTAAAAGAGACTTAGACTCCCACACAGTATAGTGGGAGACTTTAACACTCCACTGTCAATATTAGATCAATGAGACAGAAAATTCAACAAGGCTATCCAGGATTGAACACAGATCTGGACCAAGTGAACCTAACAGACATCCACAGAACTCTTCACCCCAAACCCACAGAATATATATTCGTCTCAGCACCACATCACACTTACTCTAAGACTGACAAAATAATTGGAAGTAAATCACTCCTTAGCAAATGCAAAAGAATGGAAATAACAGTCTCTCAGACCACAGTGCAATCAATTTAGAACTCAGGATTAAGAAACTCACCCAGGGGCTGGGCGTGGTGGCTCATGCCTGTAATCCCAGCACTTTGGGAGGCCGAGGCGGGTGGATCACGAGGTCAAGAGATCGAGACCATCCTGATCAACATGGTGAAACCCTGTCTCTACTAATACAAAAAATTAGCTGGGCATGGTGGTGCATGCCTGTAATCCCAGCTACTCAGGAGGCTGAGGCAGGAGAGTTGCCTGAACCCAGGAGACAGAGGTTGCAGTGAGCCAAGATTGTGCCATTGCACTCCAGCCTGGGTAACAAGAGCAAAACTCCATCTCAAAAAAAAAAAAAAAAAAAAAACAAAACTCACCCAAAACTGCACAACTACATGGAAACTGAACAACTTGCTCCTGAATGATGACTGAATAAACAATGAAATGAAGGCAGAAATAAAGATGTTCTTCAAACTCAATGAGAACGAAGACACAACATACCAGAATCTCCTGGACACATTTAAAGCAGTGTCTAGAGGAAAATTTATAGCAATAAACGCCCACATGAGAAGCAAGGAATGCTTCACACCCTATTATCAAAATTCAAAGAGCTAGAGGAGCAAGATAAAAAAAAAAATTCAACAGCTAGCCAAAGACAAGAAATAACTAAGATCAAACAAGAACTGAAGGAGATAGAGTCACACACACACACGCACACAAACTCTTCAAAAAATCAAATTCAGGAGCTGGTTTTTTGAAAAGATCAGCAAAATAGACCACTAGCCAGACTAATAAAAAAAGAAAAAAGAATCAAATAGATACAATTAAAAAATTATAAAGGGGATATCACCACCAATTCCACAGACATACAAACTACCATTAGAGATTATTACAAACAACTCTATGCACATAAACAAGTAAACCTGGAAGAAATGGATACATTCCTGGACACTTAAATCCTCCCAAGACTAAACCAGGAAGAAGCTGAATCCCTGAATTGACCCATAACAAAGTCTAAAGTCGAGGCAGCAATTAATAGTCTACCAACCAAAAAAAGTCCAGGTCCAAAGAGGATCACACTCTAATTGTACCAGAGGTACTTAGGAGCTGGTAGTGTTGCTTCTGAAACTATTCCAAACAACAGAAAAAGAGGGAATCCTCCCTAACTCATTTTATGAGACCAATATCATCCTGATACGAACACCTGGCAGAGACACAACTGAAAAAGAAAACTTCAGGCCAATATCCATGATGAACATTGATGCAAAAATTTTCAATAAAATAGTGGCAAACCAAATGCAATAGCACATCAAAAGTTTTATCCATCACAATCAAGTAGGCTTAATCTTGGGGATGCAAGGCTGTTTCAACATATGCAAATCTATAAATGTAATCCATCACACATAGAATCAAAGACAAAAACCATATGATCATCTCAACAGAGGCAGAAAAGGCCTTTGACAAAATTCAACGGTCCTTTATGCTAAAAACCCTCAATAAACTAGGTATCAATGGAACATATTTCAAAATAATAAATGTTATTTATGACAAACCCACAGGCAATATCATACTCAATGG